CATCATCATCATCATCATCATCATCATCACCATCATCATCATCACCACCATCATCACCATCATCATCATCGTCATCATCATCATCATCATCATCACCATCATCACCATCATCATCATCATCATCATCACCATCATCATCACCATCATCATCAGCACCATCATCATCATCATCATCATCACCATCATCATCATCACCATCATCATCATCATCACCATCATCATCATCACCATCATCATCATCATCATCATCAAGCTTTGAAAACAATACTGTCCGTTTCCAGAACACAGAGTGATGCTCTCTATCAGACATTCCCTCTGAGCATGGCAGTCTGTCCCTGTCCTCGGTCTGTGGTCTCCAGCCCAGCAGAAGCACCAGGTGACCCATGGAACGCACTGTGACCCTTTCCCTCTCTGGCGGGCGCTCGACCACCTGAGCCATGCCTCCAACCCCAAGGGGGCTCTTTTTTTTTTAAATCCCAACCGTAGCTTCTATCTATCACTTTGCACCAGAGGGAGCCTAAGGAGTCGAGGCTCGGGTGGGCCTGCCCCGGGCTCCGACTCCACGGCGTCCGTCAGCTCTGTGCAGAGACTCCTATGTCAGAGGCCCGGATGTCCTCTCCATCCTGATTGGCTGTCCTCTCCATCCTGATTGATTGGCTGTCCTCTCCATCCTGATTGGCTGTCCTGGACCTCTGGCTTCCAGAAGGGAGAGGGCATCTCCCATCAGAGTGCCAGGATCTGGCCATACCTAGGTGGACATTCAGTGCTGGACAGGGCGGGGAGGGGGGAGAGGGGGAGGAGGAGAAGTTTCTAGCACACAGGGCGCTTGCACACTCTCATCCCTGAAGGGAACCCCCCCCGGGGCATCCCGAGGCCCAGAGGTCCTGGCTGGGGACGCAGGAGGACGTGGGGTACCAGCTCCAGTGCCTCGTGGGGTGCTGGGGGGAGGGGGTTCCCGGAGACACCCCCTCGGGCCAGGCCCCAGCTGCCGGGGGGGTGCTGTGTGACCCCCCAGGGCCTGCAGCTCTTGTGTGTGACTTGAGGCTCCTTCCTTGGCCCAAACATAAAACGAGAGAGACGTAGCTTTACGAGGGGGAGGGGGAGGGGCAGGGGAGCAGACGGAGCAGGGGTGCGGGGCAGGGGGGAGGGCTGGATGAGCTGCAGACTTGTTTGACTCACAAGGACTACGGTTTCACTCAGAACATCATTAATCAGTTCAAGAGCCCTAACCGCAGCCATGTGAGCTCACCCCCCCCCCAGTAATCAAAGGGAGGAGCCCCAAGCTGAGAGAGGATCCGAGGTGGGGGGGAGGGGGGAAGGGGGGATTTAGTTCAAAGCTACCAACAAATAAATAAATAAACGTCCTGTCAACATGGATCGAGCTGAGCCATCCCAGGTGAGTAGGACCCCCACAACCCTGGGCGTCTAGGAGACTGTACCCCAGAACTATCCCCCAATCCTCTGGCTTCACACCCCATCATCATCTCACTACGGTGTATAAACTCCCCAACATAAAAGGCCTGGGAAAGAGAAGCAGGTGCCGGGCGCCGATGGCTCCCGCCTGTCATCCCAGCAACTCAGGAGGCTGAGATGTGAGGATCGAGGTTTGAAGCCAGCCCGAGTGGAAAAGTCCATGCGATTCTTATCTGCAGCGAACCTCCAGAAAACTGGAGGTGGAGCTGTGGTTCAAGGTGGTAGAGCACCAGCCTTGAGCAAAAAGAACTCAAGGACAGCGCCCAGGCCCTGAGTTCAAGCCCTAGGACTGGCAAAATAACTAGACAGACAGATAGATACAAAGACAGACAGACACATAGATACATAGACAGATACATAGATAGAAAGACAGATACATAAATATATACATACATACATACATACATATGTAGATAGATGCTTAGATACATACTTAGATACATATAGATACTTAGATACATAGAGCTATAGATACATAGATACATATAGATACTTAGATACATAGATATACAGATACCTAGATAGATACTTAGATACATAGATATACAGATACCTAGATAGATACTTAGATAGGTAGATATATAGATACCTAGATAGATACTTAGATACATATATAGACACATAGATATGTAGACAGATACATAGACACTTAGATACATAGGTACATAGATAGATAAAAATTGTTAAAGAGGAGCCGATATTTAACCTCATTTCCAGCTCCTGATAATTCTCAACTTCGCTTAGCACAGTGGCAAAAATGTCTCAAAATATTCCAAAACTTGAACTGTGTGTCTAGGCTGCCAGATCCCACCCCACATCCCGCCCCCCAAATAAACTCTCATTAGGGTCTAAAAGTCTGTAGCACCACCTGCATCTCAAATAACTGGTCTGTGCCCTGCCCAGCTTACAACAAGCGCCCAGCTTCACTCTCTACAGAGTGCCAAGGTCAAAGGACGCACCTCTCAGCCCAATCTCTCAGGGTGCTGACTTCACTTCTGGGGTGCAGGGAGTCACAGTGTTCGGGGTTCTTGGCCCAGCCCACACCAGTGGCTCCCACCTGTCATCCCAGCTACTCGGGAGGCTGAGATCTGAGGATCACAGTTCAAAGCCAGCCATGGGCAGGAAAGTCCATGAGACTCTGATCTCCCAGAAACCACCAGAAAACTGGAAGTGGAGCTGTGGCTCAAGCGGTACAGCGCCAGCCTTGAGTGAAAGAGCTCAGGGACAAACCCTAGGCCCTGAGTTCAAGGCCCAGGACCAGTATTTAAAAAAAAAAATTCAGGTTGTCCTGATGTACCAAGATGTCCCTGCACCTCCAAGATCCTAAAGGCTGGGGGTGGGGAAGGGGGAGGAAGGGACCACTGAGCATCAGCCCCTCACCCCCAACTCACCCAGGGCCAGTGGGTCCTGGAGGGCGGGGGGGCCTCTCCCTCCACCCTCAGACTTCAGAAGGCAAGATTCTCCTCCCCTCCCCGAAACGCGCATGGAGAGCCAGTTGAAAGAAGAAAATAATCAAACGTTTTGTTTTGGTTCTTTTTAAAAGAGAGAGAGAGAGACCCTGCTTTGAAAATTGAAATTCAGATTTTTCCCCCTTTCCTTTTTAGCAAAAAATAAAAAGAGAGGAGGGGGGGGTGCTAATTGGTTCCATCAGGAGTCATCCATTCGGCCATAATATCAAACCTGTTTTTCTTTTTCTTTTTCCTTGTTTGTTGTCGGTGGTGGGGCTTGAACTCAGGGCCTGGGCGCTGTCCCTGAGCTCTTTTGCTCAAGGCTGGTGCTCTACCCCTTGAGCCACAGCTCCACTTCTGGGTGGGGTTTTTTTTTTTTTGTTTTGGTTGGCTCACTGGAGATCAGAGTCTCATGGACTTTCCTGTCCGGGTTGGCTTCAAATCACGATCCTTACATTACAACCTCCTGAGTAGCTGGGATGACAGGCGGGAGCCACGGTGCCCGGCCAAACCTGTTTTCTGGAGATGGCGTCTCTAGTCTCTCTCCCTTTGGGGGTGATAGGTTGTACATGAGAGGGAATGAACAACCAAGTTTTTGTCCCACTGAGTCTAGAACAAGGGGCCGAGGAGAAGTTACAAAGCTCCCAGGATTGTTTGCTTTGCCCCAGTCCCCAAAGAGAACCAGAGTCTCGACTCCCACAAAGCGTGGCCTATGATAGCTGACTCCCCCCGCCCCAAGTTCCAGGTCCACCTCCACTGCCCGTTCCCTACTGCCCCCAAGAAAAAGCTCCGAGTCCTCACAGCTCAGCCTGCACAGACCCCCAACTCCACTCGACCTGATACCTCCAGGTCCACCATGGCTCTCCTCCTCTGCACCCAGAGACATTGCTGCAGGCGGGGGGTCAGAAACAGCACCCCAACTATGCAAACTCCAAACCAGGAAGGAGTTGGTTCTAGGATTTTATCATCCAAAAAGAAACCCCAGTGCCCAGGCGTGTACCTTCAGAGGCCCAAAGCAAAACAACCAAAGCATAGTTTACGGTCTGCTCCAACCCCCGCCCAAAGAAAAGTCTCTTTCAAAGGGCGGGGTGACCCGACCCCCCCAAACTCAAAGGCAAACTTCGGGCCTGTGGGACAGGTACTTAGGAGACATGGTGCCATCCTCCCGAGACCGCCATTTGGTTTTAATTCCTCCCCCTGGCAGAGCGGAGCTGGGTTCCCTCCTCGGCCCACTTTTATCCCCTTCTTCCAGCCGGACGTAAATGAAACCAGAATGCCCAGCCGGTGCGTTCAACAGAGACTATATTCACCCATCACCAAATTGTCTTGACGTGTGCTTAATGACTTAAATGCCTTTAATCCCGGAGCCCTTTTTCTTCTAACAAAATGTAAACCAGTTCGGCTGGTTGAATGACAAACCAGATGTTGACGGCCTCTTGTCTGGCGTGTCTCTGGCTCTGGTCAAAATAATGAAGACGTCGGTCTCCCAAGCAGAGAGGGGAATGTCCAAAGCACACATTTGTTTAAATGCTCTCTCTCTCACACACACACACACAAACACACACATACACACACACACAGAGGTCCATGAGAACATAGTTCCATCCATCCATCGTTTTCTGTCCGTGCAAGGAAAATATTAATTTAAGAGCAAGGAAACCATGTATCCTCTTATGCTACGTTCAAGCAAGCCTGTGCTTTCTTGGCTGGTTGAGCACCCTTTCAAGATGGCGGATGGGAGAGTAAAGTCTCAGGGCCCTGACAGTGATCCAGGAGGCCATGTTGAGGCTCCGCCACGTTTGTGATCACCTGCATGCCTCCTCCGTCATCGGGTGCCCCCCATGTGCAAATGGTTGGGCTCTGTCTCTGAACGGGGCTTGTGCATTGGCCCCCAGCCCCTCACCTCCGCAGGGCTGGGTGTGAGGCTGAGCAGGCTTCTCAAGGTCGCTGGGGAGGAGAGCTAGAATGTCCAAAGGGGGCCCTCACCAAATGCAGCGCACCCTGCTCCTCCAAGGCCCAATCCTCTGGCTGTGTCTCTTTTAGTCTAATTTTGACCCTCTTCAAAGAGAAGGAGGAAGCAAGGAAGGAAGGAAGGAAGGAAGGAAGGAAGGAGGGAGGGAGGGAGGGAGGGAAGGAGGGAAGGGAGGGAGGAGGGAAAGAAGGAAGGAAGGAGGGAAGGAAGGAAGGAAGGAAGGAA